TATGTTGCAGTCAGATAACGTATTGTGATATAGTATGATAATGTAACTATAATAATGAACAGTGTTGATGATACTGTCTTTAACATTCTTATTCCCAAAACTGACCTGAAAATCTGTGAATGTGTTCATGTGTTAGCTCATGAAGCAGTGTCAGGTGTAACTCAGGTGCTAATTTTGTATCCAGGTAAAGAGGCGGCCCCGGAGGTCGAGATGTCTATCCCTGGTCTGGACTGGGGCATGGACGAGGTCATGGGTAAAGACGCCAAGAAGGTCCCTCAGAAGAAAGTGCCGTATGCCAAACCAATCCCGGCCCAGTTCCAACAGGTAAACATCTGCAGCACAGCACCTGGTCAACACCTGGACACTGACAGAAGCAGCTGTGAGTGTTTTTATTGTGACCTCCTTCATCTCACCACAGGCCTGGGCGGAGAATAAGGTTCCCATGATGCCGCCTTCTGGAGATCTTTCAAAAGAGCGAAAGGTGGAGCAGAAGGTGGAGGGTAAGAAGAAAACTCAGGCAGAGATGGAGCAGGAGATGGCAGCTCTGCAGTACACCAACCCCCTGCTGCTGGAGGTGAGAGGCTCCGCCTTCAGTTGAAACATAAGCACTAACATTTTCAGAATGAAAACTAACGAGTTTTTAAAACTACAATAAACTACGTCTGACTTAAACCTGTTCTAACACAATAAACACCTGAAAACAGAACCTCATTAAACCGGGTTTTGGTTTTTGTGCAGCAAATGAAGATGGACCGGATGAACCAGATGAGTACAGACGGGAACATGGGTCCCCCACAGGGACAGGGCACCATGCCCCCCTTCCCTGGCCCCGGAGGCCCTGCAGGTCCTGGGGCCCCTATGCCTCCTGGCCAGCAGGGATTTCACACAAACATGCCACCCCAGCAAATGCCCAATAACATGCCCCCCCCCATGGGCCCTGGAGGTATGCAGCCCCCTTTCATTCCCCCTGGACAGATGGGGCCACCCTCAGGACCTCAGCCTCACCAGGGGCTGCCTCAGGGCATGATGGGACCACCAGACATGCAAGGACCTCAAGGAATGCAGAGACATCCTGGCCCTCATAGAAACATGGGTCCTCAAGGGCCTCACAGTATGGGTCCTGGACCCAGAGGGATGCAGGGCCCTCCTGGTGGGATGATGGGCCCCCCTCCTCGGGGAATGGGGCCAAGGGATCCTCAAGGGCTTCCACCTCAGGGGGGCATGATGCCACCTCAAGGGAACATGATGGGCCCCCAGGGTCCTATGCAGGGTGGAATGATGGGCCCCCCACCCAGGACACATAACAACATGCCAAACAATTATGGGATGGGCAACATGCAGGGGCCCCCAGGTGGAATGCATGGACCTCCAGGAAAAATGCAGGGGCCCCAAGGTAACATGCAAGGACCCCATGGAAACATGCAGGGCCCCCCTGGAAACATTCAAGGGCCACATGGTAACATGCAGGGGCCCCCATACATGCACCAGGTGAGTTTCTGTGACTGAGATTCAGCTTATGTCAAATGTTGCTAATCATCAGGACTGGCCCTGGATCAGGTTTTAAAGGTGCCATCTGATCATCTGCACTCATGTGGTCTTTGCAGGGTCAAAACTCGGGGCCTATAATGCACGGGATGGGGCAGCAGGGGCCCAATAACAAAGGTAAGAGACAGAAAGATTAAGTTGAACATAGCCAGATGTTTAGACCAGTTTTGGTTCTGCTGATAACGTCTCAGATCCTGTGGTGTACCTCAGGGATTCATGTAGGGCCTTCCCACCAAAGTGAACCGAGTGCTAGTGCTGGTTCACCATATAGGCCACCGTCTGCATCCATAGAGGGTTGCAGAGTTGTAATAAAAAAAATAGTTTGATATAAATCTAAAGTCATAATAAAAAAATTAAATACACAGTTATCTGAGCTGGACCAGTTTTTAAATCAAATTCAGGTCATGTTGGCTGGTCTGATTGTTTTATTTTATTTGACACTGCTCGTGTCTGTAACTAATTGTGTCAGGGAGTCATACAACTTGAACTGTTCGGGTCAGACACAGGTTCAGGTCGGGACATTTCACGTCTCAGTCAGAAAACGTCTTAATTAATCGGAACAATTGGACAGAAGATTTTATCTAAAGCTGGAAAACCATTGAACATGTGACACATTTAACACAACCAGTGAATACGTTTCCTCTTTTTCATCATTTTCATCTCCAACACAAAATCAAATGTTATGATAATTTAGATCTTACCATACAACTGTAGATCCACGAAAAATGGATTATTTTACAGAAGCATTTCAGTTGTCAGTGTGAGGAGATTCTGTCTTTATGAACAGATCCCAGATAAGACAACATTGGTGAATGTCAGAATCTTAGAACAAGTGTGAGTGGGTTTTGAGAAGAAAACGGTTGTTGGATGAGGTCCATTTGTCTTTGTTGACTAAACTTTGGGAATGTTAAAATGTCTTTTTGACAAAATATTCATGTGTCGGAGTAAAACAATAAATCTGATGTTTCCATCAGGAACATTCTGGACAAATCCTTTCTCTGCAGTTGATATTTAACAAACTGAGATTTGATTCTCAGCTCTAATTCTCATGGTATCCACTGGCTCTTCTCATCTAGGAGATCCCCGGGGGCCTCCGCCAAACCACCACATGGGCCCTCCTGACCGACAGTGTCCCGGAGGACCAGACCAGGGATCAGGGCCGTACTGGGGGGACAACCAGCAGAGTCGGCGTGGACCACAGGACTTTGACGGAGGCCAGGACTTTCACGGTAGAGGAGAGGAGGGCTGGAGACCTGGACCAGGATACCAGGGAGGGGGAGGACACAGGGGGGGAGGACACAGGGGAGGGAATGGAGGGAACTGGGGCCCTGACGAGAGGTTCAGCGGAGGAGAATTTAGAGGACGGAGAGACGACAGGTCAGATGCTTTCCACTTTACTTTAATGTGAGAACTTCCAGTAACCCAGGTCTGAACTGGTCTGAACCGGACTCTGTTTCAGGTACAGAGGAGGCGGCCCTGGCCGGCCTGGAGGTCATAGTTACCCTGATGCGTACAGCGGCCAGGAGGAGGGCTTTGACGGCCCAGAGGAGATTGGCCGAGGTTGGGACACTGGATGCAGAGGGAGGCCGCCTCGAGGAGGAGGTCCCCCCAGAGGAGGAGGTGAAGAGGAGTTCGGACATTTTAGTCTCTGTATCCTCAGAGTCCAGTTCACACTCTCAAACACGTCTCCGTCTCAAACACGTCTCTGTCTCAAACCACATTATTGAATTATTTTCTCCTCAGACTCTTATTTTGGCGGTCCTGTATTTGTCTTTCTGTGTATAGGTCAGGATGGTTATCGGGACAGTCAGCAGATGCATGATGGGTCGTCACCAGCTGGTCGTGAGCGACCGTCTTCCCTGCAGGGGATGGACATGGCGTCTCTGCCCCCCCGAAAGCGTCCATGGCAGGATGGACCAGGAACTGGCGAGAGAGAGTCTCCCGGAGCTGACGGAGGTTCATATTTTCACATAAAGATTAATATGCAGCGTTTTGTGGACATCATGTTTAAACGCCTCCTCCCTGCAGGTCGACCCCCCCAGAGGGAAGAAGGTGCTTACGGTCCGTCTGGTCGAGGTGGACGAGGAGGCTGGGGTCCTGGAGGACCTGGACCCAGGAGGGGGGGACCACCACCCAGAGGAGTACTGAGGGGAGGCGTTCGGGGCCGATAGTCCTGAAGAAAAAAACTCTCAAGATCCTCCTGTCCTTTGGTTGTGTCCCTGCTAGTCCCTCCAGACCTGAGACCATACCCTGACCAACCCTCGGACTGACGTTTGGTCATGTGACACGGATGTGTGCTGCTGTGGAGAACGGTGGCTTGTGATTGGAGGGACTGGCAGGTGACATTTTAATGTAAGATACTGTAGAGAAGCTCCGCCTCTTTTATTTCACCCAATCTTTTGTCTTCAGCTTGTTTTTGTCGTTTTTTGTAAAAGATTTCTATGTTTTTATGTCTTCACCGACTCCACTGAGGTGGACAATAAAGATTCACACTTCAAACTCCATCTTTACTGCGGCTGCTGGTGTTGACCAATCAAGAGAAAAGATCGTTTAAAGGAGCAGTCCAACATTTCTCAGACTGACTGAACAGGAAAGGTCATTATTACACCGTCTCCTCTAGAAACACATGTAGAACTATTTATTTAAAGAGAACTACATGGTAAACATATCCAACTATATATCTAGAACGATTAAACGACATATAGTTGTTTGACTATATATGACAATTAAAATGTATCATAAGTTACTTTAAATATACGTGTGAGTGTCACTGAGATTTGTTATGAAGTCAGCTGATCATTCTGATGCTGCATTCAGGTTAAATTGTACAAATCAAAATTATAAACAGTGTTTGTTGCATCAGACAAATGTTAAACATCTGCAGGTAAGTAAGAACAGAATCGTCACGGTGACACCTCCACACATGTTCACAGTGTGATGACCTCTGACCTCTACAGTTTCATCATGAAACAAAGTCTCTTTAATCTTTCCTCTTCCACACGAGTACTGATCAGTGAAACTGATCATATTTATTTAATATTGATGAACACACCGGAGCTGTTTACATCATGTCATTGATCAGGAATCATGACATTAGTTTTGAATTAGATTTTAATAAGAAACAACCATGAAGTGAAAAGACCTCAGATCCATTGTCCAGCTGACAGGATCAATCATCCATTGTCCATAATCCGCAGCCTGTTTATTTCCTGGAGGAATGTACTGATCACTTGGTCCTTTCTAGTCCGGGGCGGATCTGACGCTCAGTCTCCGGTCAGATGGGAATGGTTTTCCCGGTGACGGTCCTTTTGATGGCGGAGGCCGCCATGCCCCCCATGAAGCGGATCCCGGCGCTGCCTCCGGGCAGAAGCGATACCACGTATCCGACGATGACAGCCACCTGCAGGGCCGCGCCCAGCGCGGTCAGCACGGTGCTGTGGAGGCTCAGCGCCGCGTACAGAGTTCCTCCGAGGGCGCACAGGTACACGGCGGCTGCAGGGGAGGTGGGGAGGCCGGCGACGAGCCTGCTGGGGCCGCGCAGCACCGCCGCGGCCGCGATAGCGAACAGCGAACCGAGCGACCAGAGCAGGGCGAACTTCCGGGCGTAGATCAGCAGCAGCGGCGCGTACAGCGCGGACAGCCCGAAACACAGCGCGGAGAACGACGCGCACACCCCGAACCCCACCAGCCGCTGCCGCCGGCCCATGCCCGGCAGACAGGGGTCCGGCTCGGCTGACCACGGCCAGGAGATGCCACTGTTTGAATTGGAGCTCTGGCCGGACCACGGGCTGGACCACCGCCCGAACCAGCTGCTGGGGACCGGCTCCGGGTCATCCAGGTCCACCGTGGTGCTGGAGTGGGAGATGGTCTTCGCTCCGCCGCCCTTGGACTGAGTCAGGTATTCCTGGAGCTGTCGGTTCAGGTCCGCCATGACGGAGGGAGCTAACGGCTAGCTGTTAGCATCACTTTGTTCTTCTTCGTCTTTCCGGCAGACTTGGCACGATTCAGCGCATTACTGCCCCCCCCGGTATGAAACACCAGTGCAGCCTTCTCCTCCTCACTGAGCCGAGTGTCAGCAGCACAACGAGCTTCGTCTGTCTCATGTCTCTGCCTCATGTCTCTGTCTCATGTCTCTGTCTCTGCCTCATGTCTCTG